ACTTGAAGATGAAACCAAAGACGATATCTACGAGCCAAATTGATAAGTATTATGTCAATTTATTTCTTTAGCTTTCGGTGCTAATATTGCACCCTCATCAGAATTATAAAAAATCTGTGCTAATATATATATGTGTGTTTAACGCAAATTAAGCTGCGGCACCATGGATTGTCCATCGTATTATACACACATATATGTATGTATAATACGATGGACAATCCATGGTGCCGCAGCTTAATTTGCGTTAAACACACATATATATATTAGCACAGATTTTTTATAATTCTGATGAGGGTGCAATATTAGCACCGAAAGCTAAAGAAATAAATTGACATAATACTTATCAATTTGGCTCGTAGATATCGTCTTTGGTTTCATCTTCAAGTCTCTACTTTTATTATAAACGAGATCTTTTTTAATAGAAATTTCGTCGAATAAAATTTCGCAAAACCGCTCGGTGGGAGACATTTCAGAAACGGCATATTTTAATTTTTCTATTACTTTAAAATCTATACCCGGCGATACATATTTAATAGGACGCTATCGCAAAGGCGATTTTTTGTGAGGAAGTGAAAACTTCAAGTCATCGCGCATAAAATTATAGGCTTTAGTCGACATGTAATTAATATTTTGAGCTAAAGTTTTTTCCGTGTCCGTGTAGGAACTAACCGACCGCACTATCATTCTAGCAAAATTTAAAGCGTCATCGCTACAATCGGGCGAAGCTATTATCGCGTGTGTTTGCAAACGAGCAATTTGTTGCTTGAACGCGACGTTTTCGTTTTGCAACTCTTCAATACGTATGTCCTGCTTTCTCGCGTTACCCTGATAAATACGCGCAGCCCGAGCGAAAGGCTCATGGTCGCAAAAACCAGGTTCATTGCTAAGGCCCCCCTCAGTACCGCGAACATCAAAACGCTGTCTTTTGACTTCTAAATCAGAGAATTGTTCGAATTGCTCGAGTGTCAAGTCGCCTTCCGACTTTATCGGCATGTAAACATGCTTAACAGGCTGAAGGATTAATTCGGAGGAGCAGCTATTTGGCTCACTCGGAATTTGAGGTGGCAAATTGAATAGAGGAAAAGCCCCCTTTAAAAGTCGCGTTTTAGTTAAATATCTATTATGAAAATGACGTTCGCAAATACAAATTTTTGTATTTGGCGGAAATGACACTTTCAAATTGCAAACTAAGGCCCAATTATTGAAGGCAACTTCCGTCCTCGGGAAGCCAAATAGGGTCTGGTCGTCATGGGGGGAGCAGCCCTCAACGCAGCAACTGCGGTACCCCTTTGCCTCCTCAATCGAATGCTGCAGAACGACATCTTCTTCTGGTCCTAAATATATATGGTACATATTACGAAACACACACATCACTGAATGTACCATATTTGCTCATAAATAAAAAATTCTAAAGTCAAAAAATGGCCTTATTCATAAAAAATAAAGTAGCTTTAAAAAAGGTTTATAAACTGAAAAATGTATGAAAACGTCATTTTATAAAGCTCTTTACACCTACTTTATTTTTTATGAATAAGGCCAAAAATTTCTAAACTCAGTTCGCATCCCTATTATAATAAATATACGAGCATTTCTTCGGATAACTTTTAAATATTCACGGTACCCAAAAATGTTGGTTACTTAAGCTGAATGTACATTTGCACCTATACATACATATCGTCGTTTAAGGTACAAAACCGCGAATCGTCGTTTTTGGCTTAATCACACACAAGCTCTTGGCTGAATCCTTATCCATTCGTCCTGAAAATGATTTATCTAGAAAATAATCTATGTAGAAAATAATTTATGCAACCTCACATACCCGGTTTTGCATTTTGTTGATACGTGGTTTTGTACTTTAAACGACGATATACATATGTACATGCATATACATATCAAACATATACAAACATATGGACACACTAAAGCAGATTTTTTGACGAAAACCCCATTAAAAATTATGGCAAAAACTACAACTAACTTTAAGTACCGACTTAATTTTAACCCACTTCCTCAATATACATAATACATCAATAATAATCAATAAACATACAATATACATATGCATAATAATTATACATAATCACTTTCACTCGTCACAAGGACCTGCCCCACCAGTCACACATTTACACATTCACACACGTTTAAAATTTTGGAACACACAGAAAGAAGCAAATGACATACATATGTACACACACAAACAAGCATAATACATACATATGGGCCATTCCACGTAAAATAATAATTGCTATTCCTCGCGAAGTATACTGAATTTTTTATGAAACTCGGTGGGGATACTATTATTTGTTATCCCGCCTACTATCACTATATTTTATTATAACACTACACTTATCACTTTTATTTACACAAATATATTATCCTTAAAAGGTTCGCATGCGTTTGTAATACTTTAATATACAATTATTAATTAATTAATTAAGTAAAACGCGTTTATAAATGCCTTCACAAACGTTTGCTCATTTCACAAAACCAGCAGAAATAACAATGGCTGACAGCATAATAACTTTCACCAGCACCATGGAATAGCCCATATGTATGCATATTCACTATTTTGGAATGCACTCATTGTATTGTATATATACATACATACGTACATACATATTCCTACACACATATGTCCACTGCACTCACTAAAAAACTTCATGCACTAAACTTAATGAAAACAACTTACCAAGGTTGAGGGTTGGGACCGCCCCACGCTTCAGTCGCTGGCCTCCAACGGCGAAGTGAGGGAAGTGGGCGCCGCAAATGAAGGTGTTGGTTGGGGCAATGTGGGCGTCTGGCGAAATCCGGAGGTTTTGCCTCCACTTCAGGGCCATCTCCTTATCCCGTGGCCATCCATAGAGTTTGGCCTCCAAGCTGGTGATGGGGCAGTCCCGGGCTACGCAGCGGCGAATGCTGGACATCTCGTCGATTTAGGGCGCGCGATAAGTCAGGAAAAAAAATTCGCTTAAAAACCACGTCCGAACGGCTCGGAAAACTTTTCCGTATGAAAGACGTTAGCATTTTTTCTCTATTATCACCAATCAGACTCTAATAACGGTATTTAAACGGACCGATGTCAATGCAAGACAGATTTTCATTTGTAGGTTATTGACATATGTACATACATACATATATACGCGTTTGTACATATTTATGTATATACATATGTATCACGAAACTTATAAAGAGCCTATTGCGCATGTATACATAGATGAGATTTTATGGATATATGTATGTACGTATGGATTGTGGAAAATATTCCCTCAGAAAATCTTATCAACTTAGCTGAAATAGAAAAATGCATACATGTTTNAAATTTCATGAAATGCTCCAATATATAGATATATGTATGTACATATATATATATGTGGATAGATATATGTATGTACGTATGGATTGTGGAAAATATTCCCTCAGAAAATCTTATTTCCCTCAGAAAATCTTATCAACTTAGCTGAAATAGAAAAATGCATACATGTTTTGCTGAAACAGAAAAATTCATACATGTTTGCAAAAATGAATTTGCAATCAGCAAACCGATTTCACGCAAATATCATATTTTCGGCAAGCAAGCAAATGTACAAAAGCCCGCTCCTTTCCCCTTGATCCGACACAAGCACGCGCCTGCCTCCGCAAGCACCCCCTCTGCCCAGTGCTTATTAGATTTTTGTTTCTCTTTTGTTATTCGTTTTTATTTTTCGTTTTGCTTTGAACTATGCTACACGCTCGCCTCCGCAAGCATCCCCTCGGCCCGGTGCTTATTATCTTGCTGTTCCTCTTACCTGTTTCGTTCTTATTTTCTATGGTAAATTGGCCGAAGTGTTGTGACACGAAACAATTTTTGGTATGGTGGCAGCCGACGAGTGGTATATTTGGCCGACTGCACCCCAAAATTTATGGCAGCAATTAGTTCACACAGAAAATGCGCCTTCTCATTTATAAACGTTCTCTGATCTAGCGACAACACAACCACACTCAGCTTTCTTGCCACGACACCAGCTAAATTTGCCAGGACACCAGCGAGCGTACAACACTACAACCACCAAACACCAATCACTTCTAATTCAAGGTACGTGGTTATAATTTCAATTGCACTTGATAGAAAATTGCCAAAAAAAAAACGTTTTTAAATTCAATGCGCGTGTGCAAACTAGAATCTCGCGAGTGTTTAAACTGAAAATATACAATTGGAGCATTTAATTTTAAGCCACACTGTTAACAATTGAGGTTAGTCTGCCCGTCCGCAAGTGACAACAGCGACCACAATTAGGTGTTCTTTGCAATATAAACATACATACAGTGTCACACAGTACTCGTTGGTTTGCTGCACATTTTTTAAAGTCTCGGTTCAAATCACGTCATCGAACGGCAACCCAAAATAAGTGCACCTTGCAACCACTCGTATATACACACTCACATCAGTGATCCGCATCANGGTGTTCTTTGCAATATAAACATACATACAGTGTCACACAGTACTCGTTGGTTTGCTGCACATTTTTTAAAGTCTCGNGCCACACTGTTAACAATTGAGGTTAGTCTGCCCGTCCGCAAGTGACAACAGCGACCACAATTAGGTGTTCTTTGCAATATAAACATACATACAGTGTCACACAGTACTCGTTGGTTTGCTGCACATTTTTTAAAGTCTCGGTTCAAATCACGTCATCGAACGGCAACCCAAAATAAGTGCACCTTGCAACCACTCGTATATACACACTCACATCAGTGATCCGCATCACATAATATTGTTAATGAAGTATTTCGATTTTGTTTAAATTCACAGTCCATAATCATAATCTTAATTTTTCTGATCGTTTTTTCACTGCCCCTTTTATTTGGGTTAAATTCTTTTGTATATTTGCGAACACTTTGTCACTGTTTCGAGGATACATAACCTCTAAATTTTGTTATTTGCATTGGACCAATTGTAGATTTTCACTAAATCACTACGCATAAGCGATTCAACTCCGTATAATATTGCACATTCTTTAACATATATATTTGCTGCGTACGTTGCATACATCAAAGTTGTCAATCTGTATATTAAAATTTTCTGCGTACGTTGCACACATCACGATTTTACCACGTTAATTATTTACACCTTATTGCGTCCCTTGCATAGCTTATCAAAGCGCGTAGATATTATTCTGCACTAGCCGTGGGTAACACAGTGCGGCGCCGCGCCATTGCGCTGATACCGAGAGCTGAGTTACTGGCGCCGACACCGATGTTCACAACTCAGTAACGCAATCCCTGCAAAAATTGCGACTACTCCATGCATGCATGTACTGAGTACTCCCTAAGGACCAAGGAGTGCTCCAAAATTAACCACAATTCATATAAAAAATATGGTTCAATTAACATTGCGATGTCCTAGGGCAAGACCATATACTCCTTCTCTGCATAACATCAGAGTAGCACAAAACTACTCCAACATATTAACAATGGCATTGCTGTTATATTTTTTCGTTTGTACACGCTTTTGTTCTTCACTTCTCAAATGCTTTTTCGAAATCAATAAAAACCAAGACAAACAAGTAAGAAAGTCTAAGTTCGGGCGGAGCCGAACATTAAATACCCGGCGCAAGTATTAAATATATGTTCTTTCACCCTTCCGAAACCTTCCGCTAGATGGTAAGCCGAGGTGTATCAATTTTGAGTAAATTAGCGTCCTTCAATTTCGAAATATTGAAGTTTCAAGCATTTCTTAAATTTACCGTTATATGAGAATCGGCCGTTATTTTAGTCCGATTTCAATAATTTTCAACGTTTTGCTTACACGTGGCAAGTACAATAACCATACCGAGTTTGGTACAAATTGGTAGAACGGTTAC